TACATCTCTCTCCTTCTACAAACTAAGAGCATACACCTCCCCCCCTGCATAATATTATTTGGAAGCCCCTATTATTCCCTAACACATCACATTTTACCCTCGATATCTCCATTGTTATTTAAATTTAGTATCCACCAAACTATATCTTGATACCGAATATTACACCATCGAGTCTCTACATTATGGGATGAACATTGGTGTTGATCCTCTCTCTCAGTGATTTGTTGATAATCCCTTTTCACTTATACGATGTATTTTTGTTTCTGTCTTTTCAGTTCCAGCGATCATCACTAAGTCTATTCAGTGATTGCTGAAGAACTTGTATTGTAAATCAATCAGAGACAGCGATACTTCAAGAAGACAACACTCACACCAAAGAACCTTCAGCAAATGTCGATGGCTGAAACTGAAGATTAGAGACTGGCGAGTACGTGATCTGAAACGGTACTCAGTGATTACAAGCCTGTCTACATATGTGTGAAGACTGCTCAAGCTTCAGCGAATGATGAAGAGACCTTCAGGTTATTCCAGCATTCATCTATCAAAGGAATCTTGCTTAGCACGACTGTTGTTGTCTTGTCCTTATGCACACAAAGGACAAATCCATACCCTTATGAAAGTTGGTACGGTACGGAGCCGACTAGTCGACTCTATTGTCCACCAACTTTAGGTAAGGATGTCTGCTCATGAATAGTGTTTTTGTACTATTCACTGTAGCAAAGGACAAGCCTTCCTCTTAAGGCTTGACACGCACTCTAACCCTACCATATTGCATTAAATGAACATTTAATGCACTGGGTATAAATAGAAGTGTTTCTTCTCCATGCAGAGTGCGCGCAACTCACTCTCTAAACCTAATTCTTACTTCAAGCATTTTCTAGCTTAAGTAAAGGATCTTCTCTATACATCATTTCTTTTCTTAATTGCTAAGAACTCGTGTGTAACCAAAGATTGTTTAGATAGGTTTTTATTACCTTATCTTTCCGCAAACAATCTTGTAAAATCTGTATTGATCTTCTTTATCAATATATATTTTAAATTTGAAAAATATTGTGTTTGTATTCATCCCCCCCTTTCTACAAACTGTTTTACTATTCTTGTAGACCCTCAAGGGACCAACAATTGGTTCCAGACTCATCTTTCGGAAAAAGTAGACACTTTCGATGATGAAGACTGTGAAGAAGATGACGGACATTATGACCCTGGAGAAGAGCACTTTGATTCTTATGAAGACGATCCATCTCACCCCGACTCACATTGGAAGTATTGTTGTAGAATAATATTAATAATTATCACGATTAAAGGACAAAATAATGATGTAAAAGGTGATGTAAGCTTTAAGTCACTTTTATATGATGTAAGTGCTTACCTCATTTAGATAGCATTATTAGCTAGTATGATTACTTGCTTTTGTCATGCTTATGTAATACTTGTGCAGCCTTTTCCTTATCTTTAAAAGAAAGGCTCCCGTTCAATTGTAAGACATCAGTTTGAAAGAAATAAAAGCTTCTTTCATATACTCTCTCTTGTTCTTAACTATCTCTATGAGTTTAAGTTCATATTCTTCATGTTATTCTCTTATTCCTGGTGTCCAATTCTCCCGATCATAGTCGGTCGTTAAAGTCCTAGTCTCCCAGTCTTGGGAATCACCCTTTGGTACCACAGTAGTATCCTCTGGGGGTACCTTTGTTCCTAAGAAATCTTGACAATTGCATACATCATGCCAACAATGTTGGTCTTGTTGCACCAATGTCGGTGATTTCATCGAACAAAACCACAGATGAGAAATCTCTTTTGAGTGAATTGAACTAAACCCAGACGAGAAAGCTATTTTGGATAGGAAATCGGGTGTTTATTAGGAACACACCAAATTCTAGAGAGAGAAAGGTGAGAGAGATGTTCTTGAAGCATTTGACAAAAGAAGCATGTTTATGTCGACGAGTGTTTATTAAAAATCAGGGGTAGGTGTATCATTTCTTTGGCTGAATGTAACACCCCAAACCCATCTATACAATTGAGCGATGAGTTGTACGAATAAGCCGTAAGTAAACAACCTAAAGGAGTTGTGCGAATAAGCCAGATAGACCAATAAGCCAATTTAAGCTCTAAGTAAACATCCCTAAGTCATGTGCCTAGCTTGGTTTTTAGCCAAGTTTTTGTATTTGCAGTTTTAGCCCCAAGTTTTTAAAAGAAGTTTTAAATCCTCTTGTTTGGCCATTATTTTATTAAGTTTAAAATCATTTGTTTTGACCATTGTCTTCAAATAAAGCTTGAAGCTTAGGTTTTAACGTAGAAATGTTAGAAGTTTTGTTAAGCACAACGGTCTAAAATATTCCTACAAGCCTTAAGAGTGCTTTTGGATATAAATTTAGTCATTATGCACCAATTAAAACTTAGAGGGATGCATTAGAAATATCATCTTCCTTGACTTTGAACCCAAGCCCTATGAAAGCCCTTACGGTCATGGAGGTTCACCTACAATGACTCAAGGGGATGCAGTGAAAATCTCATATTCCCTAGTTTCGTATCTAAGCGCTACCAAAGCCCTTATGGTTATGGAGGTTCACCTACGATAACTCCAGGCAATTTGTGACCGCCTCAGGATTTAGTATGTACATGTAACCTTGCTCGGAAACCTACAATTACCCAAAAAAAACCGCACCAAAAAGTATACTACAATTTTCATAAGATGGAGGGAGTTCGAAAAAAATCGATTCATGTTGGTATTATAATCTAATTGTTTGTGTAACAAATCAAATTTTGAAACAATAATCAACATTTCTCCTTGTTCTGGAATAGAGAACATGTATAATAACTTCATTTGATTGCAAATTTATAAGGGGTGTTTGTTAGAGATATTAAACAATAATTAATGGATATAACCACAAGGGTGGTGTCTGATTGGTTTGAGTTTGGCTCCAAAGGTCAAAAGTACCAGGAGGTCACAGGTTCAAATCTAAGAAAGAATACAAATCTCCTTATGGCCACAGACGTTCAAATGCAGTGACTCTGGGCTATTTGCAAAGCAGGTGGTCGCCCTGGGATTAGTTGGCTCGTATAGCGGGTTGGATATCCAAGTTAATAAAAAAAATTTAATGGATTGAAAATAAACGTAATTGTCTGATGTCTGGTTTTATATAATACAATGGATTCATTTTGCTAAAAGTCCAAATTTTCATGCCAGGTCAAACTGTGGGAATGAAAATTCATTTGCTATCATTTCCATTTTTCATTCTTATTTCCATTCCCTTGCTTGAATCAAACAACCCCTTAAATTTTGTTGTATAGAGCCCAATTCAAAATGAGAACCACAAGTATTTTTAAGAACCAGAGAATTAGATCCCATTCGGTTCATAGATTGGAATCTGTTGGAATTAAAATCTGAAGAAAAAGAAATGGAATTTAATAATGTTCGACCATGCATTTGGTTCGTTTAATATACATAATAATAGTGGTGGGGTGGAGGTTGTAATAGTATCGATGGTAGTGGTGGTGGCTATGGTGGTAGTGGTGGCGGTGCAGATGCATGTGGTGGTGGTTTTGGTGGCAGTAATAGTAGCGGCGGCAATGATGGCGATGACAGTGGTGCTGATGGCGACGATGGTGGAGGTGACAACAGTAGTAATGGTAACGAGGAAGGTGGTAGTGGCGACAACAATGGTAACGACTTGCGATGACAATTGTGGTAGTGACGATGGCAATGGTGTCATCCGTTATGGTAGAATGGAATGGAATAGAGTAAAATAGTTTTTTTCTTAAAAGATGATATCAAGGAATTCAAATTCCTTCCTAGAACTCAAAGAAATTTACATCCCACCATATATGGAATTTTGAATTCTTTGTTGTAAACTCAAAGAATGAACCAAAGACAGGAATGGTATTTCAATTCCTTCAAATTCTGTTGGATTCCAACGAACCAAATGCCACCTTAATTTTTTAGTGTATACTCGTTAATGAAAATACTCATTGACAAAATACAAATACAAATAAATATATTCATCTATAAAACATATTATATTCATTGATGAATGTATTCATTAAGATATACATATTTTGATAAAATTGATCAAAATAATATAATGTATATTTATCAAGTTTATACTTCCTTTGTTTCTTAAAGATAGCAATATCAACCAAAAGATCCAGACCAATTTTAATTGTCCTTCTTAATCATCAACTTCAAAACGCAAATAACCACTCAATAACAAAATCTTAAAATTTACATAAAGTTTGCTACGATACGATAGCCAAATGGGTCTTCAATTTTGTGATTTTCAAATATACGACTTCCTGAATGTGGTTAGATGATGAGGGTCTAGACATCTCCGAAGACGTAGCTTCTTATAGAAGTTCTTGGAAAAGCACGACTAGAGTAGCGAACAAGGGCGAGGTCCTATAGCTAAGAGTAGTCAAGTAGAGCCGAAGAGGTAGGGGTCGTTTCCTAAAAGCTTACCGTGTAAGCACGTACTAGATTACCTACCTTACCGGGTAAGCATGGCAAGGACCAGAAATCTTACACGGTAAGAGGCATGTCAACAACCGAGATTCTTACTCGGTAAGTGTGGGGGAAAACTCTTATCCTGATAAGCACTTATCCTGATAAGCACTCACCGGGTAGGAGACGCTTGCAAACAATCAACTTTGATGACCCAAAATGACAAAATGTTACCTGACAAGTGAGGGTTAACTCTTGCAGATAAGCGCTTACTCAGTAAGTATTTGATAAAAGTCCCTGTATGGAAGATTGGGTTAGTAAATTAAACTAAAGGTCTTTAGCTTTCCTTAAATCAGTTATGCTTTTTTGTAACTGTTTACTCTTAAACCAGCTTTTCAAAACTTTATCATGTGTCTTTCTCTTCATCTCACATTTCACAAGTTGGGATTATTCATAGAAACAACCGGTTCTACTCAATGGATAGAGGTCTTGTCTACATACGTCTTACCCTCCCTAGATGTCACGTCATGTGGGATATACTCGGTTTGTTTTGTTTTATTTGGACTTCCCAAATGCGTTTACATTTTTAATATAAACAAAAATTACAATATTCTTGGAATCACGATACTTTACCAGCAAATGCGAAAACAAAACAAATATAGCATGTTACACAAAAGTGTCTCAATCCTTGGATATAACACCCCACACACGAAAGCATTACAATCTTGAGTTGTAACATGACACACAGGAAAGCGCCACAACAGTAATCAAATTTGATGAAATATAAAGAAAGATCATTTATCAATAAGATGCATATTGAAGTTTAGTTAAGTGGTGAAGAAACAGTTCCTAAGAGTTTTGAAACTACATTTGAACATTAGGCATCATGGAAAATAGAATTAATGTAACATTCTCATGTTTAAATCATCTAAGGGGATATTTAATCTGATGGCGTTAAAACATGCACTTTGGATGTTTTAGGAATAAGTAAACTAGGCACACCCAATAGTAAAACAATTGCTTGAAAAAGTGTTCTAAAAAAGAATTTTGGTTTCAAAAAGCTTGTCCAAAACATTTGGAAGAAAGTGAAAAGCAAAACCAATACTAGAAAACAGTAAACAATATAGAAAGCAATTTTGTAATTTATTTCTAGCAGACCTATTCATGGAATTTTCAATAGTTGAACCTGATAGTAGATGCATAAAGAGAGACCTTCCCATCAATTGATTTGAAAATCTGGCTGCTTTTCAGGCATAGCATCTTGGATAGCAGGTACCTGCTTGTATGCCTCACTCAACCTGGATAGAAGAGGGAACTCAGTCTGCACCAATAAGTAACAACACTTGGCTTTAATGATCCTCACAAACAAAGTTCAAAACATTTGCTGGTCTGTATATATAGATATATATATTACCAATGTCTATCCAAGTCAATGCTTGGGGTAGCTCAACTAGTAAGGCTTCGAGTTGACTCCCTATTGGCTGGCTGTTAACTTTAGGGGACCATGGAACTAATCGAGGTGCACGCAAGCTGGCCTGGACACTCACGGTTATAAATAAAATTGTCTAACCATGTCTTCGAACCTACCGGTTGTGTCGCAACACTTGATTCTAACAAGATGTGTCTTAGACTCTTAGTTTACCCTCGACTTACCAGGAAAAGAAAATCACAAATCTAATGCGGGAACGAGAAAAAAGCTTCTCTAGGCAACCAGTCCATGGAAACTAGTAAACCCATTATTTAGGACTTAAGAGTAGATTACAAAAAGAGGGGGGGGGGGGAGGCGCAACCCCTCTGTAGAGCCCCCATAGCACCTATCCCATGGCCATCATGCGGGAGGTATATCACTATGAGTCAACAGGACCTCCTATATGAATGTCCCCCATTCTACTGCTAAGGCAACATGCAGGGGCAGAAGTAGATTACAAGATGTAAACAATTATGTGAATGGATATATGATTCTGGCACTTGTCAAATGATGTATAAGAGCAGAGCCTACCATGTCATAGTTGTATCTCTGTGACATGGCAATGATATGTGGAGCCAGAAACAAATCAGCCTGCATAAGTTGATACAATTTCAAACAGTACTCCAGTCAGCTTACATAAACTCCAACAAATAAAGCTACAAATTAAGATGGGAAAACAATTGTTAGTACAAGTATCCAACTCCATTACATTTTTTCCTTGTAAAGTGGTTATGTACTCTCAACACATGACCAATTCTCAATGGCGATAAACACGAGTGTCTCTTATCCTTTCTTCATAACTGAGAATAAAGTTGGTTCTCTTCAGTGATGCACTACACCTTTGGCTCAAGAGCTTACAAGTCTTTACCTCCACATAACTCCAACGAGGCAAAAAGATGTATCAATCAGTCAAAGGAAGCCCAACTACAAAAGTAGATGAAATATCTATCTACACAATAATAGCATACCCATTCCATGAAGAACATCATAAAGGAAATGCTAGGAAGGGTAAACCTTCCTGTATCTTTCTAAGGTTTATCAAATTAAGATTTTTCTTTAATGAGCACCTAAAGTTCTCTCACAAAGCTCTCCTCCAAGACTGCTTCTCTGAGACCCTGTTTGGCACTTCTTATCCATTCCTCAACCATCTGGTTTGATAAATTCGGACAAACATGTTCATTTGTTTTTTCAGAACTTGATTCAATGACAAGACCATTTTTACCACAACTATTAAATAACAGCATTAAAACTAAAAATATTATGAAATAAAACTCATGATTCCTAGCATCTGCTTTGCTGATCTCATAGATGACTTTAAGGCCCTTTCATTATTTTCATAGCTCCAGAGTCAACACACTGGTGCAGGAATCAAAGGAGTGAAAATAGGATCAATACCAAATGAAAACTTTTTAACATGTGCCAATAGTACATATGTTTGCAGGAGACAAAGGAGCCATTTACAAGAATGTTATCTGATATGGTGAATAAATATTTGGTTCCAAGGGTTCTAGCAACAGGGCTGTAAAAGTATCAGACTTTACCCAGCTAGTTTAAGCCCGACTCACCTGAATAGGGCTACTCAAGCTGGTCTCTGTATGTCCTGCCCACGAACATAAACATGCAGAAATTGGGTATCCCCCTAGAAGGCTCAACTTCACTAGTTTACATACCCATCTCTGCTCAATTCAACTCAATAAGTGGCAACATGATTGAAATTCTAGACTCTTGTGGAATGCCAACCTCAGCTTCAAACATAGATTTTATCATACTATCACACCCATAGAAATACCTGACTCATTTTGAACCCAGAAAACCATGACTCAACTCACAAGGCTCCCAAGCTACACAGAAACCAACCCAAGTTGTGCTAGGGGCCAAGAATTAAAACCTGTTAAAACCAATGTTGAGCTTGAGCCCGGCTCAGCTCGACTCTTTTGCAGCCCTACTTTAATTTACAGAATCCAGATCAGCTTAGTTATAGCATTGGCAATAAACAATGATGTTTTAATGGTGTAGTTTCAGCAAGGAATGCATTGACAATGGAGTAGAAGTAAGCATTGGGGAGCAAAGGGTAACGCAAAGAGAGTTTTTAATATCTAGGCTCAATGATTCATAGAGATGGTGAGATAGTAGATGGAGTTGTGCACCGCATATAGGAAGGATAATTAAAGTGGCGAACAGCTACAGGGGTGTTGTGTGATAAGAGGGTACCATTAAAACGGAAGGGACAATTTTACAAGGTAGCCATAAGACCAACTATGTTGTATGGTTCTGAGTGTTGGACAGTAAAGAAGGAACAAGTAAATAAATGGGAAGTTGCACAGATGAGTATGTGAGATGGATGTGCGGCCGGACCATGCTAGATAGGATTTTGAAAGCGGTTTCCGCTCGGGATTAGGGGTTGCACCTATCATATTGAGAGAGGGTAGATTGAGGTGGTTTGTGCATGTTCGTTGGAGACAGTTGACAGCACCATGAAGAGAGTTGAAAGTGTGGCTATTGAGGGGTGAGGACGAGGGGTAGGCCTAGGAGAACATGAGATGACCAACTGACAATAGACATGGCAGCAGTAGCCATTTTCGAGGACATGACCTCTGATAGGAGTTCTTGGAGGCACAGCATTAGAATGGCTTAGTAGATCTGGTAGAGGGTGGCGTCAAAGGTATTGAGAGGAGAGTAGGAATTAGGCAAATAGACTCCTCGTGTTAGTTTCTAACTGTGACATATCTTCTTGCACACCTTTGAAGCGTGCACACGCATTGAATTGTGATTACCTGTTACCAGATTGCCTGCTTGCACACACTTTCGCACCATGCACAAGCCGGGGGTCTTCACGAAAACAGCCTCTCAATCCTAGTGGTTGAGGTAAGGCCTGCATACATTATACTCCTCCTAGATCCTCCTATCGAGTGGGATACAATGGGTTCATTTGATTTGGGTAATAAATAGTTATGTTACAATCAGGAAAGAAAAACATGCTAGATTGCTGTTTATGCATAATTCGGGTTCTAGATGCAAGTAAGTATATGCAACAAGGAAGAAAACACTACCAGAAAAATTTCATCTCCTGTTGCATACTTTCCAGCATGATCTTTTAGTAATTTGTCCAGCGCTGCAAGAGTTCACAGAAATCAGGCAAGCCTCTTATCAGAAAAATAAAGATAAGTGGTAGCATTACAATGCCAGCCTTACTATTGGCTCCTAAATTTGAAATAAAATTCCTAGTGTAAGTCCAATGTTTTAGCTTAGGCTTATCAGAGAAATAGAGATGCTGCAAGGGACATGCAGGCTGATCTAAAATCATAACAATCTGAATTTCAGTTAATCAACTATTATGTCAAATGTGCCGTGAAATATGCATATAATGTGCTCTTGACTATTTCCTAGTATTAATGTGTTAATCTAAATATGGGCATGGCAATAGTACCTTTATAACCCAGTACTTATGATTAATTACCAATCGGTCCCTGTAGAATCTTCAAGGACAAGTTTACCCCTTATAACTAACTATATGTAGGGTGGTTATTTCCTACATAGTTCCCTAATGCCGCTTTTCGTTCTCCAATCCCATGCTAAGAGAAATCAATTAACAAGGGCACATAAATTATCATACTCTGTTGATGGCAGTGACATAGGAAATTGTTTGTATTCCTCATACGAGTCTAATCAATGGCTTCATCAAGTACTACGCAATAAAATCTCCCAACAAGCAAGTCTTGCCATCATACTCTAATCTGTGATGATTAGTACAGGATCATGTCCACTTGGCATATCGATCCGGGGTATAGCTTATGTTGAATAATGAGCATGTGGTTTTAGGGCCAGGATTAATTGTATGCCTAACTGGACCTTCAAAGGTACGAATTCTTGTTTTTTATCAAGAGCTCTCCCTTTCAACCTTCAAAAGTAAAGAGTTCTTTGTCAGATTTAAGCCCTTAACTCTTTTCTCCTTACTTACGTATACTACCACTAACCGATTTCCCATCCACCAACTTTATCTTACACTCCCCTGCCACAGCCTACCAACTTTGACTAATTAATATAACAGCCTCACCTCCAGGATATAACATTGCTACACATAAAATACAGATGTTACATCTAAAAGACTAGTATAAACTCATTTCAACTTATCTAGTTCCCCTTTATTTTGACTTTTTGACCAGTAATTTGAACTTATTTAGTCCTCCCTTATTTTGACCTTTGCAACATAGGTAACCTCCAATCCTGAAAATGTAATACATACCGTCTTCTTTTAACACCTTGTAGAAAGGAACTTCCACAAAAGGAGAACACCGCATCTCCAACTATGTATACCCATACTCATACTTTCACAGCCCCGTTTCTATGTAACCTCATACTTTCACAGCCCCGTTTCTATATATCCTCATACTTCAACAAGAAGTTATATATCTACTCCAAGAGAATGCACAAAGAAACTTCTAAAAGAGCTTTCACGTATTGTTGGAACCAGCTCAAGTTATCAAATCTGGACCTTATCCATGCCTGAAATTGGGTACTGAACTACTTATTATAAACTAAATAAATAATAACAATATTAGCAATAGAAAGAAAAACCTAAACTCACGGCACATGGTGTGCTTAATATCGCAGTTCAGTTAGTATGAAAAAGAAATGCAGAAATTACATTCTGGGAAGATCAATGCCAAGCAAATTAAGAGAAACAATCATGGCATAACTTGATCATTCAGACATCATATATAAGTCAAACTAGTGTATTTTTATTATAGGAAACATCTCAATTCTTGGTGCTTAGTGGCAGATGGGGTATCTATGTTTTCACTTTTGTTCTCTCTTGGTTCTTAAACCCTTCTTCAAAGTTAGTTTCCAAGTTACTGTGGGGAAGAAATCAAGAGGAAATTAACCAGCAAAGCCCTTTCCCACATGCTTTAGAATCCATGGAATTTTCGCGTCAGGACCAACATTTTCTTCGACGTATTGCTGCAAATTCAGATAATGGATAAAAGGTAAGAATTCATGTGGAAGCAATTTTGTGTGGGGTTTACGAATCAACAAAAACATTTTCTTACTCACCAAAATTGGTATGCTTAGGAGAGGTTGTATGCTCGAACAAATAATATTTGCAGCCTACAAATTTGAAAGGAAGTGACTTCAATTATACCAGGATTAAGGGCCACCACATAAACCAGTACAGACAAACATGTATGCGATCATATTGTACCCGTGTAATTGCATCCACAACCATATAAAGTATCGAAGACTTTAATCAATATTACAATGACATTAAACATATTAATATATAAAACATGTAACCTTAAATTGCTTAATTTACTCAACAATGAAATTCCACTTATGTAGGGTAGAGAATCCTATCTAAATGATCAAGATGAACATAGACTGGGATAAATATATTAAAGAATAAAATAACAACCCTATATTTCCAATACTCCTCCAGTCAGGAGCATATATGTCGAATATTGTCAGAGATATGGATAATTTGTGACCCATGTTATACCTGTCATGATGTTTGCAACTTGAACTTCTAAATGCTCTTGAATTAGCATGATAACTACCTTTTTCTAGAAACAAATGACAACTACCTCAATATGTTTGGTGTGCTCATGAAAGATCTAATTTCCGAGATGTGAATAGCAACCCCAATATCACAAAACATCCCCATCAAACCAATTGTTGGACCCCCAACTTTGTGCTAGAGAAAAGAGACCTCATTTTGTTTCTTACTCTTCTACACATGAGGTTGTTACAAGAAAATGATCCACTTGACCCCAAACCCAAATAATCAATGTCCAACAAAAATCAAACTAGGCAAAAATCAATTGTCCCAATAATCGATATCAACATCCAAATCAATTTCTAATGCAAAAATAGAGATAATAAAAACATGGCAATCAATAAGACATTGGAAAAATTAAGAGAGACAATAGAGGACACCCTAATTTATGTGAAAACCCAAAATAGGAGAAACACGGGTGAAGGAGACCACTAAGAAATCCACTAATCAAAGATAAATTTGTGCAAATGATGAAGAACAAGATCTTGGTGATTACAGATCTTCATTGGTTGTTTTGATAAGAGTATGTATGCATATCATAAGTGAACAACAAAATGACCTAAATGAATAAATAAAACTTGTCTGGTACCGAATGCTACTTGTGGAAGCGACCTCCAAGTAGCGTCTAAAGTTTGCTCTTTTAATCTGGGTGTAAGCAACATTTAAGGTGACAAAGTTGCTTCCAAACTTGTTGTGAATGTATCAAGAGATCCTCTTTTGTACGTGCGACAACCTGGGCAACATTCAAAACCACGTTTGATCTCGCAATATATGTATCGAGAATTCATCCTCGTTATTCCAGACTTCTACACGAGATGCACAAGTCGTAGAGCAAGTTGTGACCAACCAAGGTGGATTTAAGTCACTCCGAAACATAAACAATGTTGTGGTAGATCTTCTGTTATTCGGACATCATGCATGACAAGCATCAAATATCATGTTGCTCATTATCAATGTAGAAAACACTTCTAACTATAGTACCCTTGATATACCACCAAAAAATGCAACATTGGATCTCAATAACTACTAACAAGGGTCATTGCCACGTTGGTTTGTTCTCTTATGAAGGTGTAGAGTGGATAATTGAATTCTCTAATGCAGACCGGACCGATTATCCCTTTTCCAGGAGGTGTCCATCACAGGCTATTGTATATTTGTAGGTAATTATCAATCTCGTGGAGGAGTAAGAAAAAACACATTGTCTCTCATTCCAATGCAAATTCCTATGCTGTTATAGCAGTCAAAATACAAAATAGCGGTCAGGACCGATATTTGAAATAGGGGCTATAGCGGTGGTATAGCGGTCGAAAAAATAGCAGTTCATATAATTTTTCTTAGAATTATATATGTATATATAAATATATATATATATATATATGTATGCATACATAAAAATATCATATGCATTAATTAAAAACATAGTTTCAACATCAGATTAAATAAGTTTCACAAAACAAAATAAGAAGAGTATTCGTAAACGAGCTAATCGCAAGCAATAGGTTTAGCATCCAAGTCAAACGTGATCGTCGGACTCGTGGTCGTGGGACTTGTCTAAAGCTGAAGCAGACGTTGGAGGGGAGGAAGCTGTCGAACGTGGTCGTGGGACTCATCTAAAGCAGAAGTAGAGACGCTGAAGTGGAGGAGGCTGTCGAACGGGAAAAACCTACAACTTCTAAGTTCTAACTTGTGTTGATACTTGATAGATAGAAAGGAAGTTACTAAGTATTAACGGGTTGAAATTTATTACAGTCCAAATCAATATAAATCGACCAAGTAAAAAACTCAAAATAGAGCCCAAAAAAAGACCCAACCTAAATACCGCTATTGCAAACCGCAAGTTGAAGCCAAATATCGGTGTATTGCACCGATATTATCAAAACCGCTATTTGACCACCGTCTATTTTGCAAAAATGTCCGATAACCGATATTGCGGCGCTATTGTACTGCTATTGTGCCGCTATTAACAACATAGGCAAATTCATAGTACCAAGCCATCACTAATGTGTCACGTGAAATGAAATGGACTGGTAGGCTTCTAGAAGAGCTTGGTGTACCTACAAGTGATCTAATGAGGTTCTATCATGATAGATAGTCAACCATTCACATATCTAAGAATCAAGGAGAGAACGAAACATATTGAGGTCGACCGCCATCCAAAGTTGTTAAAGGCTTAAGGCACACTTAGGTGCAAAGGGGTCCAGGGGCCTAGGTGCAAGGCGCACGCCTCACGAATGCAAGGCGCGTCTTATCAATATATTATACCCACACACAATTACACATAACTCAAATATGCAGCAAGTACAAGCCTCCAATACAGCAACCAATAGCACTTCGATAGAGGCAAAAGGGAGAAGGGTTTAAAGTATGAACCGTGAAGGTTGGGTATTTACAGAGAAGGAGGGTTGAAGTTCTAAGGACTATGTTTTTAATATTAGGGTTTGACTTATGTCATCTATTTAATCACTCTTTTCTTTAAAAGTCTAGGAGATGAGAAGATGAGAAAACTTATTTAATATTAGGGTTTGACTAGGTGTTCTATAGTTTTTTATGAGGCACGCCAGGTCCACAAGGCGCCTCGGCCAATGCACAACGCCTTAGTGAGCCTCGTGAATACATTGAGCCTCGACTTCAAAAAATCCCACGACCTTAAGTCTTATGAGCCTCAGAGCCTAAGTGCAGATCAGGTGCGCTTTTAACAATTATGTCGTCATCTTGTTAGGGACCGCATAGCTAGGACAATTAGGACTCTAATGGATTGGATCCTCCTGTTCTTCAGTTGATTCATATATGAACAGAATATGCTGTTAATTGTGGCGCAATAGCGCTACAATAGCGCTACAATAGCGGCGCAACCTCAGATATCGGCCCTAAGCATAATATCGGTGGTCAAATTGCGGTGTATACAGCGGTAACGCAATTATCAACACAATTTACTGCAATTTTGACCGATATTTAAGGTCAAATTGAGTTCTGCAATAGCATTGTTTTTTTTGGCTAGGCTTTATTTTGAGTTATTGTTTTGGGCAGTTGGGCTTTTTAGATCTGGGCTATGTTTTAACTTTAATCCATTAACATAACAATTACTTTCTTCGTAATATCAACCCAAGTTGAGCTTTTTAGATCTGAACCTATTGCTTGCGATTAGCTCGTTTATGAACACTTCCCTATTTTGTCATATGAAACTTGTTTAAGTTGATGGTCTGATGTTGAAACTATATTCTTAATTAATGCAAATGATATGTTTATGTATGCATACATATTATATATATATATATATATATAATTCTAAAAAACTTAGATGAACAACTATTTTTGTACCGCTATACCACCGCTAAACTGCTATTTCAAATATCGGTCCTGACCGCAATTTTGTATATTCACCGCTATAACAGCATATTCAAAAACCCGTAATCAGATCTTGGTAACTAACTATTTACAACCTTCCTCCGGCTTATCACCGGTATTATGTTCAGGGTTCCAAACTGTTTTTTTTTATCAAAATTGGGGTGATGTTATTATGTTGCTGGTGAACAGAACATTAGCTAGATGATATTCTAATAAAACCCTTAATAAAAAAAATTAATTAACTATATTGTAGCAAGTTATGAATGATCAATGTTTATGCCCTAATTTGAGGAGTGTCAACAATGTTAGCTTCTATTAGGATTCCATTATCTATATATTGTATGGTTAGATTAGAGTTTTGTTCCTTATGAGATGTGAAGAGGAATCTCTTAAATGTGTTATTGCTCAATACTAGCACTGTGTGTAGAGAAAAGATACTATGATTGTGTCAAACAAATTATTTTCTTTGCTCTTCAATGCATGTGTTTTAGTCTTAAGGACACTTCAAAAAAATTCCATGATCGTATCAAGTGTTTGGTTTGGTTTGGTTTACTACGGGTTTGGGATTGAAAGGAGTGAACCAAGAATTAGGTAGATCATCATGTGTGTCATCTGTGAGGCTTTGATTCAGTTTACTAAGCTATGATTGATTATTTGATTGGATGCCACGTGGTCTGCAAAGCATCCTAATAATCCCGTTTATCCAACTGCATTATGCATAAGTAATTAATTGTTGGTTTACGGTTTCGTAGTTTAATATATAAAACTCTCCACCACATTTTACTTTTCTGCATTGCATCTCAGTATCTCCTGCATCTGCATTGATCAATTCATTGCACATCTTTATTTAATGCAGTGTGGTAAAGTTCAGCACATTAACTTCCCGAACTTGTTGAGTTAGTTCTTGCAGTTTAGCTTACTTTCCACACACATATAGCTATTGCGGTTAATCACTTTTCTGTTTAAGCATTCATTCATGGTAGATAACCACACCCAGGGAAATGTTTCTGCAATTAATATGACAACCTCCACACATTTATTTGGCTACTGTTTTGCATTAGCTTTAAGCATATTTAGAAGTAGTAACATTCTAACTTGTTTTTGCATTCACCACTATAACCTGAAGTTATTTCCTAACGTGCAACTTCATCTGGAAATTATACCACCTGTTACTTGCTGATTTAGTAATTTGTGTTACTTTATTTTCTGTCGTCAAAGCATGAACATTTTATCTTGTAAAATTCTCAAGAAATATAAAATACCAAATGCAAATTATCACACCCAAAGAGTGATGAACTTTTCAATCACGGGTCTTCTTGGTTCTCCTTTTTTTCTATAAAATCTTTCATTGATCACACAAGATAGGATTGGGCGATTGTGGTTTTAGAAATATAGGCTAATAAGTTTTGGAAAAATAATGAATATGAAGATTCCTACAAGAGCAAGTAGCGAAACACCCACTCCATTTTTTTAAGCAGTCAATATAAAAAAAGAGTGCACCCGTGGTGCTAGGGCTTTCAAGTAATAAGAGGTTGATTACCTAACAAATTGACCTTAAGCACTAATAACAATGAAACAGTGTTTTACAGCATGAACTAGTAGTTAACCAAAGTTATTTCTTCTTGGTCGTTTTTACAAGGCTATTATAATAAAGTGATTTAGAAAGTTATAGAACAAGAAACCAAATGATATTACCTGATAATTTATTGCCCTTTTCTCCAGGTTATGAGGTAACAAAGGATGCTGAGGGTACTTCTCTTCGAGGTACTGTATAATAGGAAGAATTAGCACAGAGAAAGGAAAAAGAAAGGAAGAAAACCTTCCTAAAACAATACAAAAAAGCTCGAACACATACAAGTAAACCATTTACACGAAGCAGATTATGGAGAGGCGGTCACTGAAGTTACTAACCAATATGATTGCTAAAGAATCAGCAAGCACTATATCACCGTCCACAAGAGCAGGCACATACCCCATAGGATTGATCTTTAAAAACTCTACACTTAAAAAAGATGCAACTTCAGATACAATATGTTTCATAATAGAGAACATGAGGGACTAGTAAATCTAGAGGTAACCAAGTACAGGAAACAATTGTAACCTGCAATAAGCATAAATCTAACAATACCATAACCAACTCGAAGTAGCACGGTAATAAATAGGGTTGAAAGAATTAGAAAGCGGAAGCTACATGATACAACTCAATTAAGTGCTGAAGTTTTTAGCCACCTGAAGAGACAGCTACTAAAAGCTGAAGACAATTATGTATTATCGTATCAACAGATCAAACAAACAATTGGAATTTTTTAAAGCAGAGATTTGGCTCCATTTAAGTAAATAACTAGCAAAGCTTTATGGTTCACCAGTAACCCGACTTCTAAATTTAATTATTTTTTTCCTAAGAACACGCTATCAATAGCAATATGAATTATATCTAAACTTCAGTTCATAAGTGAGACTTGATGTGAACCTATATTGTGAAAGCATTATCCTGCAACAGCCTTTACAGTCCTCTGTCTAAAAGAGGATATACAATTTGAACTTTGAGCGATCAGATAGATTTTGTTACAGATGGCACCAAAGTTTTTCTATATAATTCTGTCATGCATCTAAATCTCTTCATGAATACAGATGTTGCATTCTTTTTTTGAAAGAAAGGAAGTGGGACACAAGCACTTTTTCAACTAACATGTTCGTTCAGATTATAATCGTTAAAATTGAAATAATTTGAATTTGTTACCAGGATTGTGCTGCTCTCGTTTGAACAGATTAATGGCTTTGTATTCATAATCAAGTCCTGTTAGCAAACCATGGACAACAGATTCAAAGTAAATATCAGTAACTGAATAATAGCATCTACAAACCTACACAATATGCAATCGTAGAAGAAATAATGAATCATAAACAAAACCTTTTATGTTGAGAGCAATACGAACACGAAAAGAGGGAGTGCCCATGAAAATAGAATAAAGTTGCAGCTTTTTTGGAAACTCTTCACCACCACCCGTCGCCGTTGCCTACGTCATCAAAGGGTGAATAGGTTTGTTAGTGTGAGAGACAGAGATAGAAAGTGAGGGAGGGAGAGAGGGACGCACCATATGCAGTAAATGCCAAAGCTACTAAGAAGAAAGCACAGGATTGTGATGGAACTAGAGAGAAGACAAGATTGGTCCAAGAACCGGCGATCCGGCAACGTTTATGACTCCTCATATCTACCATCCACCACTGTAATTTCTGGTTAAATGCGTTAAATAAAGTGTCGAAAGATGTTGGCATATTTTTTATATTAGAAATTAGATAAGTGACTTTATATTATTTGTTATTTTATATGATCAAATACTATAATTTAGAATATCAATTAACATATATTTGTTTCATGATATAAATATTTTTAAAATGTTTGTAAAATAAAATTATACGTAAAAAATCCCATATTGTGGACCAAAAATATAAGAAGCATCTTAATTGTAAGTGAAACAAATATATTTTCATTAATACATAAAATGCTAACGTTAAATAAGTCATGTAAAATAATGTCTTAATAGATGTTCATCAGTACATTAAATGCCAAACATGTACGTTATATTTTATGTTTCTTCTTTTAAATTTGAAAATTTCTCTTTTCTCTCTCTTATTTTTCTCTAATTTAGAAAAAAATTTAACATATCTTTTAACAAATATTTTATAAATCTCCAAAATAATATAAATATTATCTGTTAAATATATTCTTACAATTATTATAATATATAAAATTTTCATTTAATTACATTCCACCAAATTAGTGGTCCATGGCATATCGCGCAAAGTTAGAAGAATTGGAATTTTTTGTTTCTTCAATACGAGTGGATAGGCATAGTAATTAATTCAGATTATCGTGAACAAGTCATTTTTTAATATGTGTGCAACATTAGAGTCAGGAAAATTGTGATGAAAATAAAAGTGACAGATTATTTACAAATTATGTAACAAATATTCACTGATAATGTCTTTAGAGTGAAGTTTAGGTAAAAAAACAAAAGAAATAAAAAATTAATAAACATTTTGATAACCATTCATTTGTAAGGTATGTATATACATATATAAGTAATTGAAGATGTTTCCTGATTTCTTTATACATATGGATGCTATGTACATATATATATCGAAAAAATTCCTTATATGCAAATGCTTATACTATACAGATAAATGATAAATTAGGGTATTACTTGCTTTTAATTTTTTTATAATTTCCCTTAAACCTAAACATAAAAAGAAAATAGAAACCTAAACATATAAAAAAATTTGACATCTTTTACTAACATCAAGAAGAACTCATCGAGTTTGATAGAAATAATGATACCTTGTCCCATGTCCATCTAGCAAAACTGTGATAGGCACCAAATGGGTCTATCATAACAAGTTGGATGAACAAGGAATTGTAACCCAAGGCTCGACTTGTTGCTTAGGGATACAGACAAAAAGAAGGCATCGACTATGATGAAATCTTTGCACCAGTGGCTAAACTCGAAGCAATTCGACTCTTCCTAGCATATGATGCCCATAAGGACTTTAAAGTCTATCAAATGGACGTAAAGAACACTTTCTTAAATGGACAACTTCAAGAGAAAGTTTATGTTAAACAATCTCCAGGGTTTCTTGACCCTAAATATCCAACTCATGTCTATCGATTGAATAAAGCTATTTATGGGTTAAAACAGGGCCCTCGAGCCTGGTATGACACCATTTCTTCATTTCTCATCTTAGAGAGATTTGTTCATGGAAAGATTGACCAAACCCTATTTCTTAGGAAAGTCAAGGGTCACATCATTCTTGTCCAAATTTATGTCGATGATATTATTTTTTGTTCCACTAATCCCTCTTTGTGTTTTCATTTCTCTGAACACATGAATGAAGAATACAAGATGAGCATGATGGGAGAGCTGACATATTTTCTAGGTCTTCAGATTAAGTAATCTGATAAAGGCATTTAGCATCAGTCAGCTGTGTGATAAAGATTTCACAGTAAAATTTTCTAAGAATTCATGTTATGTCTTTAACAAAGATGACAAGCTTGCTCTTACAGGTTCTCGTCTAGAGAATGTGTATGTCATGAACATGGATTATCCCTTCACTGAGAATAGTTGTTTTCTCTCTAAAGCCTCTTCATATATCAACTACTATGACACAAACGGCTTTCTCATCTCAACTTCAAGACGTTGAATGAGTTATCCCGAAAGGACCTTGTCACTAGCCTTCCTTAACACTTATTTGCAAAGGAATCTCTTTGCTCAGCGTGTGAAAAAGGAAAACAGACAAAGGATGGCTTCAAATCTAAGCAAGTCTCTTCAGTAACTTCTCCTCTTTAGCTTTTGCACATGGATTTATTTGGTTCAGTCAACGTGCAATCTATAGCTGGAAAGAAATATACACTTGTCATTGTTGATGAGTATTCCAGGTACACTTGGGTCTTCTTTCTCATATCTATGAGTGATGCACCTGAAGAAATTATCTCATTTATCAAAAGCATAGAAGTACTGAACAACATCAGAGTACGGTTTATCAGGACTGATCATGGCACTTAATTCAAAAACAGTACCATTGATGACTTCTTTGTGAACAAGGGAATCTCACACAACTTCTCAGCTGTGAGAACTCCACAACAGAACAGGGTCGCTGAAAGAAGAAATCGAACAATCATTGAGGTTGCTCGATTAATGCTCAGTGAATCTCGTATCCCTACTCAATTTTATGCTGAAGTTGTCAGCACTGCTTGTTTTACTTAGAATCGGTCGCTGATCATCAATAGATTCAAGAAGACAGCTTATGAACTCTTCCATAAAAGAAAGCCTTCTCTTAGCTTTCTTCATATATTTGATTGTACTTGTTACATTCTTAACAACAGAGATCAACTTGGAAAGTTCGATCCCAAAGTTGATGAAAGATTCTTCCTTGGATATTCTTCAGTATCCAAAGCCTTCAGAGTATTCAACAAAAGATGACAAACAATAGAAGAATCTATTCATGTCATCTTTATGAATCTCAATTAGCTAACTCTAAACCCATCTTTGAAGATGATGAAGAGTTAGACAACTGGATGATATCTGGCTATGGATAACCTGAAGCTTTTTTCAGCAATCAACCAATCCCTGACCCTCAAGAATCTGACGATGATACATTTATCGTTCCAGATGTGACTAGTAACAAAGTTGAATCCTCTTCAGGGATTGTTGTCGTTCCCATTGGTCACTTACCCCCTTCTACTTCAAACACTGACCTCTCAGTTGCTGAAACTCCTTTAGTTTCTGAACCTCTATCAGTTGTTGAATCGCTTACTGAGGCTCCTTTAGCAATCCAACATGTTGTTGAAATATCTGTTGTTGATGCCTCATCTTCTATGCCTGAGCTTCCAAGCTCAGATGATAATCTTCTACTAGCTTAGCGATGGACGAAAGACCATCCAATACATCAAATTCTTGGTGATCCAAGTGCAGGTATTCAGACACGACGTGGTCTAGGTAATATTTGTTTCTTTGTCAACTTTCTTTCTTTAATTGAGCCCAAGAAGATCAATGGCTCTATCACTGACCCTAGTTAGGTCATTGCTTTGCAAGAGGAACTCATTGAGTCTAATAGGAACCAAGTCTGTACCTTGTCCCGCATCCATCTGACAAAACTATGATAGAAACCAAGTGGGTTTATCGCAATAAGTTAGATGAACAAGGAATTGTAACCCGAAACAAGGCTAGTCTTGTTGGTTAGGGATACAAGAAAGAAAAAGGGATTGACTATGATGAAACCTTCACACTAGTGGCTACACTTAAAGTTATTCGACTCTTTCTAGCAAATGCTGCCCATAGAGACTTCAAAGTCTTTCAAATGGAAGTAAAGAGCTCTTTTCTAATTGGAAAACATCAGAAGAAAGTTTATGTTGAACAACCTCCAGAGTTTCTTGACCCCAAGTATCCAAATCATGTTTATCGATTGGATAAAGCTCTTTATGGTTAAAACAAACCCCTCATGTCTGGTATGATACCCCCTCTACATTTCTCATCTCTGAGAAATTTGTCTGTGGAAAGATTGACCATGCCATATTTCTTAGGAAAGTCAAGGGTCATATCATTCTAGTCCAAATTTATGTTGATGACATAATTTTTGGTTCCACTAATCCCTTTTTGTGTTTTCGGTTTGCTGAACGCATGAAAAAAAGAATATCAGATAAGCATGACGGGAGAACTCACTTAATTTCTAGGTCTTCAAATTAAGCATCAGATAAAGAAATCTTTATCAATCAAAGTAAGTATGTTAGGGATATGCTGAAGAAATTTGATCTAACCAACTATTCATCTATGAAAAACTCCAATGGATCCTCCACTCTCGCTGAACAATGATCCAAATCGAAAGCCTGTAGACTTTATTGTTTATAGAGGAATAATCGGCTCCATGTTGTATCTCACAGCAAGTCGTACAAATATTATATACTCTACTTGTTTTTGTGCATGATATCAATCTGAACTTAAGGAGTCCCATCTGACTGTTGTAAAACGCATCTTCAGATATCTTAAGGGAACTCCTAATTTGGGACTTCGGTATTGTTAGGACCAAAAATTGATCCTAAATTACTCAAAAAGTTTTATTAAGCAATCGGGGCTAAGGATGGAAGATTCGAAATTCTGCTGTACTAAAATGACCAAGTCTGGAAGAGCATACAGAGGCTCTCTGGACGACTAAAGAGGTTCTCTAGGCGACCAGAGCTTGGATACAAGCAAGCGCTCTCAGACACAAAGCTAGCGCTCTCGGGATTAGGACACATGTACTCGGATACAGAGGACAAGAAGACCAAAGTCATGCGCCTAAGTCTAAAGGCTAAGTTGTGGGATACAGAGCGCAGACACAGAGCCTTTGCATAGTACATGCAGAGCCTCTAGGTCTTCCACAGATATAGAGCTCCTCTATATGAAGTTTTCCTCTATATGAGATATTCCTCTGGTTGGTACATTTTCTGCACAACTACTCTTAGAGTAGCATAGTGCATGAAGACTGAATCTTGAAGGATGGTGCTGAGTTTATTTTAGATAATGATTAATTCTGTATTTATAGGATTTAGTTACCTTGTAAATATTGCCTATATAAGAGGTAATATAGCATAGAATAGAAGTGAAGAAAACCTTTGTAATACACGAATACACAAATCATCACATGAGAGTCGATTAGGGTTTTGAGAGA